CGGGCGACCTGTCAGTCCCAGCTACTTCGGAGGCTAGCAGGCAGGAAATGGCGTGAACACTGGGAAGGCGAGACGGCTTGCGTGAAGCCGATGATCGCGGCCCACCTGCACTCCAGCCTGGTGACACAGCGCCGATGACTGCGTCTCAAAAAACAAAAAAAAAAAAAAAAAAAATAAAAAAAAGAAAAAATGAAAGTAGTTCGTGGACGATCTTGCACCTCAAGCCATGGTCCACCTGGAGTGTGGGCTAGCTGCATTTCAATAATGGCCCGGTGGTTGACTAACTGCCTTGAAGTAATCTCTGAAATTTCACAGATAGGTCCATATGCCTACCAAGTCTGTCTCAAGATTATCCCCAGGAACTTCTGAGTAAGCACATAATTAGATACTAGCATACAATTGGACAAATGTGCATGGTCTAAGGGAGTGTATGGTGAGAAGTGGTGGACATGGTGTTTCAAAGAAAGTACATTTCAAGGCTGTATTTTAAGACTAACAAGAAGAAAAGATTCTGTGGTAAGGTTCAAGGTTATATCGCAAGACTAGGGAAAAATGAGAAAAAGGAAAAAAACTTTTAAAGTGCATTTTCAGGCTAGACTGTTCAGTTACAAAACTAGTTTTAGAGTTGCAGTGTGTCCTTTCAGTAGCCATGAAATAAAACTTGTTTCAGGTTACAGCAGGGAGTTTCAGCAGCCAGGCTTCCAGAGAATTACATTCTTGGATCAGTGTTACATGCCCTGAATGCTTTTCTTCCCACAGCTGTTTCAACTCTGTTTTAGGTGGGTATGACAAGAAGGACCCAATTCATATGATCAACTTTCACACAATTAACAGGGATCCCTTCTAAATCTGCTAAATCTGCAGGATTTTTGAGCTGCAACTGGGGGAAAAAACCCACCAAATCTCAAATCAACACGTTTGTTTTCCTAATACAAAATAAAATGTTGTTTTCTATTATATATGTACTATCATAAAGTACGATGTGAAAAATCTTTGTCAGAGACATGGAGGACATTTCAATGTGTATTAAAAAGCAAAGAAGCCATTCTGAAAAGGCTACACAGTGTGATTCCAGCTCTATGACTTTCTTTTCTTTTTCTTTTCTTTTTTTTTTTTTTTTTTTGAGACAAGGTCTCACTTTGTCACCCAGGCTGGAGTGCAGTGGTGCAGTCACGGCTCAGTACAACCTCAACCACCTGAGCTCAAGCAATCCTTCCATCTCAGCCTCCAGAGTAGCTGGGACTACAGGTGCACACTATACCTGGCTAAGTTTTGTATTTTTTTGTAGAGATGGGGGTCTCGCTATGTTGCCCAGGCTGGTCTCGAACTCCTGAGTTCAAGTGATCTGCCTGCTTCAGACTCCCAAAGTGCTGGGATTACAGGTGTGACCCACTGCACCTCGCCATTTCCCTTATTTATATTTATAGCTCACACTTCCCCAGATGGGATCCATTTGCTGTGTCAGCCTGTCCAGCTGGTTGTGTAATCGGCCTTTCAGACTAGACTTGTCCAAAGGTTATCCCAAACCCCCTGCTCCCGGATCTGCAGCCCCAGAATCACCCCCTCAGTAGTGGCAGCTCAGACCTTCTGGCTCCTCAGTAGACAACCCAATAACCATGCTTCACTCCTTTCCTGCATGCCCACGTGGAGCCTGTGAGCAAGTTGTGTTTTGCTTTCCAGGGACAAGAATCTAATATTTTTCCGCACTGCATGTGTTAACAACATTGATCCAGCTACAGTCTTTTTTGACTCACGGAGGCCTCATGTGCAATCTTTCAGCAAAGCTTGTCCTAGACTCAAAATTCAGCCAGAATGGAATTGGTTGTCATCAATACATACGTGATAGCCATGGACCACACTACCATCATCTCACACCTGCTTTCTTACAATTGTCTCTAAATGGTCTTCCTCTTCCATTCCTCATTCACCATTGTCTATTCTCCAAGCACAAGCCAGAAGGACGTGTTTCTTTTTTTTTTTTTTTTTTGAAGACGAGTCTCGCTCTGTCCCCGCCACAGCTGGAGTGCACTGGCGGATCCAAGCTCACTGCAACTCCGCCTCATGGTTTGCGCATTTCCTCCCTCCCAGCTCCGAGTAGCTGGGACTACATGCGCCCGCCACCCGCCGCCGGCAGTTTTTTTTATTTTTTTAGTAGATCGGGGTTTCCCACCCGCATTAGCCGTGATGTCTCATCTCGACCTCGTGATCGCCGTCCGCTCCCAAGTTGGCGATTATCAGGCTTGAACCCACCCGCGCCCGCCTGAAGGACGTGTTTCCAATCCAGTCCACTGGTCACTTCCCTTTCCAAACTCTTCCAGTGCCCTTCCCTTCTGAGTCCTTAGCCTCACATGGCTTCCATGACCCTAAAAGGCTTGTTGGAACCCAACCCACTCAATTTTTGTTCTCCCTAGAACCTTTCATACCCATCTCACCCTATGGCCACAATGGCACCATAATTTTCATTATATCTTGATAGGGCCCTGGGTAAATGAGACTGAAGACTTGCTGGGCCGCGTCCCCGGAGGTTTAGGCATATGTCCCAGAATGTTAGTATGGACAGGTAATCATGTTTTAGCAGACTCAGACTTAACCAACCAGAATTAACGGACAGGAAATGTAGATTCCAATATCTTAAGAACAAAGCATTCTTAGTTTAAGATAATTTCACTTTAGGCTGGATTGCCGTGCTTCACCCTGTAATGTAGC